CTCTGGGCCACCCCTATCTCCTGTCTACGGTTGACAAGTGTCCCTTATTATGAGATCTTCCATATTTGAACATTAGTGCATAAACACTCTAAAAGCACAAGACCCTCTCTTGGAAGTTAAGCAGGTTCAGCCCTGGTTAGTACTTGGATGGTACTGCCAATGAATACCAGGTGCTGTAGACAGTCATTCCAGAGAAAGGAACTGGCAAAACCACCTCTAAGTAACTATTTTCTAAGACAACCCTATTAAATAATGGAGTTGTCATATGTTGACAGATGACTTGAAGGTACATCTGTACTTATTGGAGGCCCAGTTAGCTTGTCCTTTATAGCACTTGCAACTGTCTCTAATTTTGTATTTACATAGAGTCTGAACAGGATACCAAAATATCCCATATTATAGGCACTCCATTAAGACAGGAATGTATACATTATGAATGTGGAGAGAGAAATACATACTTTTATATGGCATTTAGATAGAAGAGCATGCCATTAAGTTTGGCTGCTCCTTATTACTTAAAAAAAAACCTGGCGGCAGTATTCCAGTCCCTATTTACTTTGAAGTGTGAAAGAGTGATTTTGGCAGATATTCTTTTACCATTGTGATGCCCCAGGGTGCTCATCAAGGATGCTCATCTAGCCCAAAGCTGTGATTAAACCAGTAAAGCCATGCCCTTACAGCTATCCAATGAGCAGTATACACACCTTATTAATGCAGAAAAGGTGGAACTTCATAGATAGTTTGGAGAAACAGTAATTTCAATCCACCTCATAAACGTAGACTGGCTAATTTCACAGTTGTTTACTTTTCAGCAAGTGAAAAAGAGAGGTAGAGTTGGGTTGCTGTGAGTTTTTCAAGCTGTATGGCCATGTCCCAGCAGCAGTCTCTCCTAATCTTTCACCTGTGTCTGTGGTTGGCAAATTCAGAAGTTCTGTTGGCAGTGAGGTTAGTGGAGTGTATATCTGTATGTACAATGTCCAGAGTGGGAGGAAGAAACTTTGTCTGTTTATAGCAAGTGTGAATGTTGCAATTAGCAAGCTTGGATAGCATTGAGTAGTCAGAGATAGAGTTGTTTACTTCCATACCTCTTTCATACATCCTATGAAAGTTGAGAAGGCAGCATGCTTCAGTTCCATTTTTGGAAGAAAAAAACCATGTGAACCATTAGAAATGTACCTACCAATTGAAATGGTAAAGGTAAAGGTTTCCCTTTGAAACTAAGTCTAGTCGAGTCTGCCTCTGGGGGTGGTGCGCATTTCCATTTCTAAGTCGAAAAGCCACCGTTGTCCTTAGACACCTCCTACGTCATGTAGCCAATATGACTGCATGGAGTGCCATTCCCTTCCCAGCGAAGTGGTACCTATTGATCTACTTGCATTTGCATGATTTTGAACTGCTAGTTTGGGAGAAGCTGGGGCTAGCAACAGGAGCTCGCCTCATCCCACAGATTTGAACCTCCAACCTACCAGTCAGCAAGTACTGCAGATTAGTAGTTTATGGTCCAGATAAATCCAGCTCTTCCTGCTTTCTGCTCTGAGCAACTGAACAGTGTGGAAGCATGTTATTTTCCAACCTAGACCACGATGTGCTCGTCCTGCAACAGTGTTGCTTCTGGGATGGACCCAATCATTGAGCATCCTTATGCATAATAACTGCTTCATCTTGCCAGCAGGCTTTTGTTATTATTAGAGGCTTACTTAAAAATTGTATGACCTCTTTTGTATGACTCACTCCAAGAAGAGAATGATCCCAGTTTCCAGCTGTCTTCCCTAAATAGTAACATTGCTGCAAGGAAAATGGAACAGTGAATCCTCTCAGTGTTTTCATTCAGAATGTAATGTTATTATCTAAAGTGGTGAATCTTTTCCCCAAAATAAAATTACCACCTTGTATAACATCAGACTAAACCCTGGAGCAGACTCACTGTTATGCTGATGTTAGTGTCAAAAGTTGCCATGGGAGAAGAGGAGGGGAGACTGGTTACGGGATAACTAGTCCATGTTGAACTGGTGCCAGTTTTCTTGATCAGCTCCCATCTTCCTTACCTGTAGGCAGGCATGTAACCGGGGGGGGGGGGCTTGGGGGGCTTCCGCCCCCCCCCCCCGAAATTCTCTTGGTGGTTCGCGAAAAGGCCTTACTGTGCATTATTTAAACTGTTATGTTTATTCATATCATGATCTGATCACCATACTCAATATATCCCATATGCATGGGGGTATTGGGGTAATGATACAAAAGGTTTGCTAGGCTAGACCCTCTTTCACTCAGACTCAAGCACCCGAAACTCAGCCCCCCCCGAAACCCCCCCTGAAAAAAACTCAGCCCCCCCCCCCCCCGAATCGAAATCCTGGCTACGGGCCTGCCTGTAGGCACCTAACCCTAACTCTTTCCCAGTACCTAGTCATAGTGTCATGATTCCATGTTAACTGCAGGATTCTGTTATCACATAGGATTGGTAGTTTGCTCAGAGACACTAGTGCTCCTCCCTCAACTGCCAATCCCATGATTCCTTGAGATGTTGCCATGGCAGTTAAAGTAGAGCCATGTAATACAATATAATACTAGTAATAATAATTCAATATTATAATTATAATTATATATTTAATTACATGTAATATTACTAATAATATTACAATATAATGGTATAGTGCAATATAGTAATATATACTGATATTGTACTTTGCTAATAATATAATATATTGTATGAAAATATATATTGTAAGCCACTCTGAGTCCCCTTAGGGGTGAGAAGGGCGGCATATAAGCGCCGTAAATAAATAAATAAATAAATAAATAAATAAATAAATAGCATTATAACTATGAAATGTGAAAGGGACCCTAAATTTTCAAGTTGGGTGTGCTTGGTTAATACTGTTGTTGCCATTGGGGCAACCCTACCATCAGGCAGTAAGGTGGCTACCACTTTCAAAAAGTATGGGGAAAAATGGGGCATAGCCTGTGGTACTGTTTGAAAACTGTGGTGTATCTTCCACAGTGGTATATCTTGCTGCATCCTAAGCTAGCTTGGAATCATAAGATGCAGTGGAGAATATTTGTCAGATTTTCAGTATCAAGATGTCTTGGAACAGGCTTAGTTGATATTCATGAAATGTGCATTTTAATATGTCTCCCATTTTACAACTGATAGTGGCAGAAAGACTGTCTAAAGACTGTTGGGAAAGCTAGTGAAAGTGGCTGAAAGACAAACTACACTTCTGTTCACCTGAGTATTTCACTCCTTTCAACTGCTGATCCTGGGAAGTGAACCGCAAACTGTTTTGTGCTGCACCACTGTAGTTTCCAAAGTATGCTCATCAATACAGTTTCTTTCTATAAAAATAATTACTGCCCATACTTATGAATAAGTCAGAAGAAATAGTCAAATACATAACCAAAATAAACTTGGTCAACTTATCTATGGGTCAATTTAAGTACTGTAACTCTTATAAATAAAAAGAAACCACTCCTTCTCTGAGTAGAACTGCAAAGGACAAGAAATTAGTCAATCCCAGGAGAACCTAAATAAAGTACTCTACTCTCTCCATGGTGGTGCTATTTCTTCCCTTTTTGAATGCCTGAGTAGACAAATGACAGTGGTGATAGTGGCCAGAGGCAGCTGGCCCTCTGAAGTGAAACTGGTGCTTTCTCCTCTCCTTGGAATGAGCCCCAACTTATCCCTGGATCATATCAAAATCCATAATTTTGATCCACAAATGTGCCCTTGACTTAACCATTAAATCAACATATATACAAAAATATAGAGCAGGCTTCAATTTGGGACCTACTTTGAATCCCACAACTAGAGCAAAATTCAAGTGTGAATGAAGAACACTTATGTCATTTTCAAACTCACATTTTTTGTATTCAGAATTTCTCTTAGGTGTCGATTGTTGGGGCTTGAGAAGGGGAAATTCCACCCTCTAATATCATTTCAAACTGCTAGGCAGCACTTTCAACTCAGATCCATGGCTGACTGGAATATGTAGAAGGGAAATGAGAACCTTCTGCAGATTTCCTTGCTTTCTTATTCCTGGCCTGGCCTACTCTGTGCTGGTTTCTGTTAGAGAAAATATTCCTGCATTGAGTTTTTGAGAATAAGGCACATATCTCTGGATGTTTTGGGTTTTTGGTTTTTTTTTTTACAAAAAATAGATAGAATCCAAACTTGCATGTATCTCAGATCCATAGAAAAAACTATTTTCAATGGGTTTTTCTGTAAGCATGACAGAAACAGAACCCAGACCTATGATTGGGGATGAATTGTACCTCCATAGGAGCACACATGCGATACGTGTTTCGAATGTCAGTTTCAATCCACAGTATTTCTAAGTAGAGCTGGGACATCTAAAATTGTAGACAAAAACTGTCAAGTATTTCAGGTGTCTATCTGGTAAGATAATAATGTAGCTATTAATATCTCATGTTTTAAGGAAGCAATTTTTAAGAACCCATTTTCTAGACTTTTCCAGTGAGTAGAGTCTTGTTGTTCAAAAATTATGGACACCTGGTCAAACAACATCACAGTAGGTCAAATTGGGGAAAGTTATAATAAAAAGTACACATAAGCTAGGACTGGCTGCAGCAGTTTGCTTTGGCCTGGGCGTATTGAAAAGGACAAGATTCAATTCCCTCTGTTCCCTATACTGGATCAATTGAGTATGCATGATGCTTTCATTTTGGAAATAATTTGTACCAATCAAAGGAAGCTGACAGCAAGGAGAAAAAGTTAGAGGAGACAAAAGCCAGGACATTTAAAAAGCAGGAGAAAAAATATAAATGACAGAAAATTGACTGAAGCTGTGCCAGCCAAATTTGGATAGTTGAAAGGGAAGCTGCCTTCATCTTCCAGTCAATGAGTGAGCAATATTCGTGCCATCTTACTTCTCTTATATATCTTCTCCCAACTAAGAGCAACAGCTGGGCCTCCAGAATGGAAAACTACTGCAAAAAGAGAAATCTGGAACCAATCCAGTATAAACACTATTGCTGGTATCCTGTTTATTAGTTACCACTACAGTAGGCCCACTCAATCAGCTGCTGAATGGTAAGTCAACACATATAGGTAAATCCAATGAATTCAATGGGTCTGTTTCGGAAACGATTAACAGTAGGATTTAGACCCATAAGTGTTTATGTCCAGTATTTTATTCTGTGTCATCATTAGTAAAATATTACTGGTAACCATTTCATTGTTCATGCATTTTATTATGGAGAAAAGCAAAAAAAAAGTGATTTCAGGCAAGATGCAAAGTGAAGTGTGGGAACAACTTTTGCATATAGAGAGTAACAATAACCACACCAACCCCAAATACATGAAGTTTCAGACTTGGAAACAGAGTCTGTATAATGTGCTAAAAGAAAGACTTCTGTCGAAAAAAATGGCTTCTGGAACTTATTTATGGGACATATTTATTACAGAAAATAGCTTTCTATGGAAACCAGACAGTGATTGCTATTAATGACTATTACTATTGTTAGCAAATAACTGGAGAAGCTAAATACTGTATCTGTGTATCTATCATGGAATACTGTGGTACAAAACAAATCCCAAATATAGATCAGTTCTCATTTTCAGTGGCTTTCCAAAGGTCATGATGTTGGGAGGAAAGCTTCCCTGAAGGCTTATCTGGTCGTTAGCCTTCTCTTTAGAAGGGTGCTGATGCCTCACCGAACTGCAGCTTCCCATGAGGCTATACCATTGAGCCATGGGAATTAAAGTGGGGCCAAACTGCATTAATTCTACAGTGCAGGTGCACCCTGACAAGATTGTTTCTTAAGTTATTCTGTGCAACATCCTTATATGGTTTTTGCATGGAAAATATTGCCTGCTTGGAAAATGCTTTGTTCTGTGAAAAAAATCATGTGAATTTTACATAGAATGAGTACAAATGTGAAATTTCAGTGAAAACTGAACTACTTTTGAAGACACTCTCAAAGCAGAAAGAAAATTACACATTACTCTCTTTAAGAACAAAATTAACGAAGAATTCCTTAACCTTTTTCCTTGACCTTCACAAAATAGAATGATTGATTTCATTTTCCTTTGCCCAATTTTCACCATATTCACCACCCTATTATATAAGCATTCTATACTCCATTATGAAGTGTGGGTCAATCAGAAATGTTTGCCATATATTTGCTGATTTTATACTTCCTTATTTCTAAAGTGGTGTTCTGCTTCTAGTATGACTAATAGAGTCTGCCTGTTAAAGTTGGCATTATAAAAAGAAAGCACTGTAATCAAAACCTATCAAGGTGTTGTAAACCTTTGAGTAACTACAAAAATATCTGTGTACTAGTCACAATTTGGCCAGGGTGAAAACCCTCATTTATCTTGATATGTTGTTGTTGTTGTTTTTATAGAAGTTTCCAGCACTCATAATTTTCTCTATAAATGGATCAGAGAGTTCTTGAGATTTTTCAAAAAATTCAAATGTGGTAGAAAGGGAAATTGACAAAGACCATTGTTGGCTGAATCTAGCTTCGACTCTCTCCTTATTCAGTTATATTTATGTTGATGAAATTAGGGTACCATCTTTTTTCCCCAGAAAGATACAATATTGTGGTGCATGTATATAACATGATTTTCTCCATGGTAGGAGTAGCATGAATGTAAAACTGGTCCAGTGTAGAATGTGGTGATTTTGATTAGTTAGTTTTCTGATAGAAACTTAATAAAATTTGCACATTTTGACAGAATGGATTTAAAAAATTAAAGCGAGAGGGTAAAAAAAGTTAAATTGACAGCCATAATAAGGAAGGCATGCCAATTATAAATATCATTATTTGATCATGACAGAAAGTAATGAAAAATATATTTAATACGGCCCATTCTCCAAAAATAGCAACACTACATTCTTTGACTTTCCATATAAAAGATATTTGTGAATAAAAGTGTATATATATGGAATAGATTCATCAGTGCCAAAAATTCAAAGAAGGTGAATAACCCAAGAAAAGCACATAAGTTATTTCAATTATTCAGTGACTCGCTTTATCATTCTTATGCTACTAGAAAACCAAGAACTGAGTTTTTAAAAAGCTATTTTGTAGGTAAGATTTTTAAATTGCAGAATTGCTGATGGCCCAAATGGTCCAGGGCAGAAGACAGATACCTACATGATCCCTACTGGTCCAGGATAACACATGCCACCTGGAGCCCCCAACGGTCCAGGGTAGCAAATACCCCCAAGGCCTCCTACTGTTCCAGGATGACATACTGCAATAGGAGCACCAAACCCTACACAGGGCCCTCCTCCCAAGCCTAAGCCCCTTACCAGAGGCATGCTGATACCTGAAACTCCCGTATTGCCCATGTCAATGCCTCCTGCAATTCCAGGATTGCAGCCGAGGATTATGTGGCCAGCTCTACCCCTAGGGCCCAATCCCTCAGCCCTAAATGGAATGGCACCATGTTGACCATAACTTCCATGGAAGTAGCCTCTGTCAGGGCAACTTGCTGTTCTACGTCCCTGCCCTACATATCTGGATGGTTCCTGGTCACTTTCCAAACTGAATCTTGTGCCTGAACCACTTACTCCTGCCCCAAACACTTTTTCTGTGGAAGAGCTGTCTCCAGGGGAGGTTGGGCTACCGCCTGAGTAGGACACACCCCTGGAGCTGTTTGATGTTCCTGGGGAAAGTTCTGCATCTGCAGAACCAGATGGTCTTGTAGCTGCACTGCTGTTGTCTGTAGATTTTGAGTAGTTCCCAACACTTCTGGTGCTGCAGTTCCTGTTATAACACCTGTGACTTCCAGCTGGGTATCCTCCACCATATGCTGAATTGTATCCTCCACCCATAGAACCATATCCATATGGAACTGCAAATCCAGCTGAATTTGCCATGTATTGGGGTCTGACCACATCTGAAAGGAAAAGAAAAACTCAGAATTTTTAACTATGTTGGGGCTGATTCAGAAAATCTCTGAGAATGCTGACTGGGAAATACTGGAGAATAATTTATTCCAAATTGCATGAAAAATACATTGGAACAGCATGTGCATGCATGGTTATATGTGTGAGCCATAATATCCTGTTGGGTTGTCTGGCCTATATTAGCACTTGGAAGCATTGCTTTGCAGTGGTCCTTTTTTTTTTTTTTTGAACATTGCTAGGGGTAGTGCTGGTTGGCATTAGCCTGTCAATACTGTCCTGTATGCTTTTCATCTAGAAAGAGCTGTTGGAAGAGGTCAGCTATAGCTTTGGGTTGGATATCATCGGTATGATGTTGATATCCAAATCTGTCTCTCCTTTACAGCTGACACCAATGAGTAGTACTGAATCATTGTCTGGATACAGGAAAGGATGGGATTAAAATTAATGGATTGTTTGTCTTAATCCAGACAAGATGGAAGTGTTGTTGATCAGTGAGAAAGCCAACCTGAAAACAGGATCACAATCTGTTTTGAAAGATTAGGTTCATAGCTTGGAAGTATCTTGACCTAGTGCTGTTCTGGGAAAGCCAGGTAGAATAGAGTGCCATTTACCCAATATAGTGTCAGCTGTGCATTTTAGGTGCCATATAACTTTAGTCCTGCAAGAACTACATGGGCTTCCAATTTGTTTCTGAGTTTGATTCAAGGTGCTGGTACTGACTTTCAAAGCCCTAACTAACTTGTAGCTAGAATGTAAGAAAGACTGTGTTTTTCAGTTGAAGCATATCAGAAATGTGAGATCTTTAGAGGAGCTCTTGTTGCATGTCCAGTATTTTGCGACAGTAGGTTAGAAGGTACACATAACAAGATTTTTGCCTATAGTAGCACAGTAATTATGGAAGTTCCTCCCAAGGAAGATAAGCGAGTCCCATCTTTTTAAAGCTGCTAATGGGATGTATAGTATTCAGCGTATTCAATTGCTGTTTTAACTACGTACTTTAAAACTAAAATCTTGGGTTATGTTTAGGCTGCTTTAAAAAAACTTTTTTAAAAAATGCATCATTTTAACTAGGTGGTTGTAAGTTTTTCAGGCTGTATGGTCATGTTCCAGAAGTATTCTCTCCTGATGTTTCACCTGCAATTATGGCAGGCATCCTCAGAGGTTTAACTGTTTGTTATTTGTTCCCTCAGAAGCTCTTGGTGGATGAGAGATAATACAAAAATATTTTAAATAAACAAACAAAATAAGTAAACAGTGTGTTTGCAATCAAGAAGGGGAATAAAGTGGGCACCATATCAAGTCAGATTTTACCAGCTCAGAACAAGGTTAAAAGAAGCACCTTCTAAGGGTCTCTCACTGGGAGAGTAGTGGAAAAGACAAAGATGCTGTTGTCCTGCCTTGTGTAAAACACTCCATAGACCAATACTCAAATTACAACACCATAGCCCAACAGTATCCTTACTTACCTATGCTGAAGGGATATCCAGTGTGTAACCTATTGGAGGAGGGAAAGAAATATTTCATTGCAATTACAAAATATTATCATTCTGTAACAATCTACAAGGTGCTTGTGCTGTATAACACACTTTACCGTTGGTTGGAAGAGCAGAAAACAACCTTCATACAACATGAGTAGTTCCAATTCATTTCAGCAGGGTATGCACAATGGAACTTGGGTTGCAGGCTGAGATATTTCTTACATAGCAACAAGAGGATTTTTAAAAAGTCATATATATGATCCTCACAATTAAAGTAATTCTGTAGAATCATTTAAAGGACATCCTAATACCCTTTTGGTAAAATCACTGCCTTGATAAAGTGTGTATGTGTGCATTCACCTTTGTTAGATTTGTTTTTTATTAAAATTAATTTGAATGACATGCTGTGGGTAATTGTGGTTGGTGCTTAATATATCATTCCTAATGAAATTGGTCCCATGTTTTGGCCTGAAATTTCAGGACTTGGGATGGGTGCTAACCAGACAACACTACTCCCACTCATGCCTTGTATGGCAGTGCTTGGAAAACATCAGGAGATCCACCTCTCCATTCCTTTCCAGCATACCCTCCAACATTTCACAGATGGAAGGTGACATCAGAATGTGTTCAACATGACAAAAGTTATGAATGAGGAAGAACAGAGAAGCTAGGAGATGTGACAGTAGTTTCCTTTTGCATGAGTCTACAGGGAAGGACAGGGTCCCGTTCCTCCTGTTCTCTCTTCCCTGCTGAGTTAGTTGAGTGCAAACTACTTTTGCATTTTGTAAGACGTTTGCAGCAATTTAAGTAACCTGAGGATGAAGGAAAAAAGTGCAGGGGGAGGAATGGGACATTTGAAAAAGCAACTGAAAAAATGAGACATCATAGGATTAATCAGGAATGTACCTTACAAATCAAGACAGTTGGAGGATATGTCTTGGCTCATTTTAAAATGGCTCTACTTCAGATGTTTCAAAGTTGCTTTATGCTGCAACCCTATCTTGTCTAACCTGAGTGTAAACCAACTGAAATCAGTGGAACTTAATTCAAGCAGGCAGGTGTAGGGTTTTGCTAATATTCTGCCAGATGATGCTTAATGCTTCCTTGCTTAATAATCATTCCACATTAACAATATGACACAATCTCTTCCAAAACAGTGCATCTTCTTCTCCATCTCAATAATATGTAATAATAGAAAATTTATAATTTGGTGATCATATCTGACTAAGCTAAAAATGATGAAATTTGTTCACAGAAGTCATAGGATTAAGCCCAAGTACTATATTATTACCTTATCACATTACCTAAATTCCCCATCCTAATACACACCTTTGATACAGTCAGCATGGAGCCCTCTGAGTCTCATCCAACAACGTACATCTACTTCTAGCAGGGCTCCATGCTGGCTGCATCAAGGAATCGTGTTAGGAGGGGGAAACCTGGACATACGAGACTACCCATGTTCAGGGAGAGAATCATGGAGACAAGCTACACTTTCCGATGTGTTGGGCAAGTGGGTGGTGCGGGTGATGTGGAAGGCCAGTTGACATATTGTCCTGCTGCCCTACAGTCCTCCTGCTGTCCCCTGCATCAAGGACCTTAATGTGATGAGGCCCTTAGTCTCAATTTAAGCAGACCCGCTGACACATGGGATAAACTTACATAAATTCAGAATTTATGTAAGTATTGATAAACTTACATAAATTCAGTTGACTCCATGGGTCTCCTTAAGATTAATTAGGAGTTAGTCTACCTTGTATCATTTCACACCAGTAAATTCATACCTTTTTTGGTACATAATAACTTGTTCAGGAGAGGGCAGACTGGCTCCAGTTGGAAACTACAAGACCAAAACTGTCATCAGCCATTGGCCAGAAGCAGAATTTTTCCAGTTGGATCACTTTTGTTCAGAATGACTTATTAAATGGGATATTCTCTGACAGAGATTAAAAATATTGTTTTGAGTCCCATGTTTTTATAGCTCTGCCAATATATCCTTTGTTTCATGCTTATTATGAGATGGACTACTTCCGCTTCTCCTTCTACTTTTTTCTTCTCATTCCACTCCTCCATTATTACTACAGCAATTTTTATGGTGGTTATTGACATAAGCTTGTTTTAGAAATACCAACAAAATCTTTCAAATGGGATTTACACATATCTTGAGGATGGCCAAGGGATCTGAAATATTTGCACAATTTTCAAGGAATAATCTCTCAATATGTGAGCTACAGAGCTCTGAAACATTCATTTTTGAGACTGCAACTCTCATTCCCAGTGGCAATATTGGCAAGGGAATACTGGAGTAACTGTTCAAAAGTGTAATTTTCCTAAGCTATATGAGTGCTCTTTTTGTGTGCAATTATAATATAATTCATAGTCACCTGGTCTCCTCGCCCTCGAGTAGGGTCCTGTAGGTAGCAATCTCAATGTCAAGGGCCAACTTGACATTCAAAAGGTCATGGTAATCTTTCAGCATGCTGGCTAAGTCATCCTTGGCCTTTTGCAGAGCAGACAGTAGATCACTGTGCTTTTCCTGAGCATCTTTGAGAGCTTGATCACCACGCTGCTCAACATCACAAATAGATGTTTGCAGAGCATCAACCTATCCCACCCCAGTGTAAAGATCAAATAAATCTGATTAAAGAGAGATATCATGGATTCACTTTTAATAAGACAGTTAGGTAATACAAATTCAACATTTGAAGGAAGCTTTTTAAAGAACCCATCCAGACTGAGTATGTACACAAGGAAAGATCTGATGGAGAATGATAGATCAGAATTCTTAAATGTTTAAAACATTCTAATGTAAGAAAGGGAGAAGCATTCAAAATGAAGTAATAGAACAATTAAGCAGGAAATTATATAAAAATAAAATATGATGAGAAAAATGTGCAGAGTGGGATATGGAGGTGATCATTGGCTCCCAAATGAATAAGTAATTACGAACGCTTGCAAATAAGGGGGGGAGGCAGAGAAAAGGAGCAAAATTGAGTCCACCATAAAGTGAGTTGAGTACAGAAACAGAACACTGAGACAGAATAGAAAAATTATTATTGGCTTAACTGTACAATTGTATTCTGTTTATTGGCTTTGGTTTCCTATATTCTCCTCTCCCCTAAACTATCCTGTTTTTTTAAAAAAAAAATTGGTTTGCATACAGAAAACAAAACTGACACCAAAGAAAAACCGAAATAAGTAAAAAACAAAAAAGAAAGAGAAAAAAAACAGAAAAAAGGGGGGAAAGATATACAAAAGAGTGTGCAAATTTGCAGAATGGTATACAGTCAGCGCTCATTAAACATGTAAAAAAATCAACTTTGACTGTACAGTTATAATACATTAACATTTATTGTCCCTCTAACCCCACACCCGTGAACCCAACCCCTGTGACCTCCGACACCACTCCGTATGGATCACATAACTAACCTACAACTACCCACGTGTCTTCTTTCACTGAATCCCCTTTATGGCGATCTTCAAATCTACTTTTGTCTTCTTTTCAAGATATCCAATTGCCAACCGCCATTTTTTAACAAATTCTTCATTATTTCCACCTCTGCTGCTATTTGTCAGTTTGGCCATTTGGATATAGTCTACTAATTTATCTCTCCAATCCTTAATAATTAACTCTTTTTCCCCCTTCCACGATTTAGCTATTATTAGTCTCGCAGCAACAAAACAATACTGACAAATTTCTTCATCTCCTGTGCTAATACGCCTCCTAAATATTCCTAATAAGCACATTTCTGGATTTTTCTTGATTTTTTTGCTAATCATTTTATTTGTTTCTTTCATCACTTTTTTCCAGAATTCTTTAACTATGTTACAGGTCCACCATACGTGGAAAAAAGATCCCTTCACCTTCTTGCATCTCCAGCAAGCCCCTTGTCCTGTTTTCTCTATTTTAGCTAGTACCTCTGGGGTTATATAGGTTCTGTAAAACATTTTAAACATATTTTCTCTAATTGAGCTGGCCACTGAGAATCTAAAGCCCTTATTCCAGAGACGTTCCCACTCTTCCAGATCGATATTTCTGCCAACATCTTGGGCCCACGTGATCATAACGGATTTTATTTGGTTGTCTACTAAATTATATTCTAAAATATATTTGTAAAGTCTGGATATTAGGCCTTTGTTGCCTTTCTCGAAAATACTTTCTAACTCCGATTTATTAGAGGCAAATCCTACTTTTGCATCCTTCCTAAATCTGTCGTGTAGTTGGAAAAAACTGAACCAATCTTTTAACCCAGATTCTTCTCTGCTTTTAAGTATCCATTGTCCTTTCTCATTGACCAGATAATCCTTGTATGTGCCAGAGTCAGCGTATGTGGCCGGTCTCTGGACTGTTTCCAATGGGCACAGCCATAGGGGTTTTTTTTGGCTCCATACCCTTCTTATATCTTTTCTATGTTGCTAAAAGGCTGGCTCTTATTACGTGCCCTAAACTATCATGTTGTGTGATTGCACTACGTATCACTAAATTCTTTTCAACATTTTGATTCCTCAGTTCCCCATCCCACTCATCTGCCCACTCATCTGCCCAGTCACTATCCATATCTGTTGGATCACTGAAAAGAGTTGTGGATGATGGGATTGTGATGGCGTGCTGCACTCAACAAGAACAATTTTAATTCTGCACCCATAGCATTAGCAATTGTAACATGTAAGACAATCCTGGTGGAAAACTGGAGATCAAGAAAACGGGGACTGTGCTAGGTTTCCCTCCACTTTGCCTCCCTCCAAGGCTCTGTCCCTTCCCCTCAGGCCTTATTTCTAAAGCAGATGAAAATCCACACCTTTCAATGCTGTGTATGTGTGTATGTATATACCATATGTATATGTGTGTATATACACAAACACACATATTTAAAAAGATCTATTTCCATCCAGCAACTGAACAGAGATGAACCCTTTCCCTTGTTCATCTGTGAAAGAGGAAGCCTCTCTCAGTGCAAATATGGAAAATGCCCCTGTCCTACAGAGATGTACATGAATTCACCAAGGAAAGGGTTCCTAGAAAGATGTGGTTGGGTGGACTAATGGATGGACGTTGTGGTAGCGCATGAGCACAAAACTATTCCCTGTTATAACTACCTCCTAATTAAAAAAAATATTTTGACTAATTTATTTTACTGTAAACCAATTTCTTGCTAGTTGATAGATAGGCAAAATGCCAGTATTTTAAATAAAACACCTGAATCAATAATATTCTACAATGCCAACAATGAAATTGTAGCCAATCAAATTTGTTAATGATGTCACTATGGGCAACTGAAACCAAACAAAAATTGCATTTTTTAAAATGAAGCAAAAACAGGTTGAGCATCCCTTATCCATACATTTGAAATACTCATTCAATAATGTTGTGCATGAAACAGAGTTTGCACATATTGAATCATTAGATGTTTTCTAATGAATCAGTGTGCACAGACTTTATTTCATGCAAAAAATATTTTTAATGTATAAAATTCCTTTACAGCTATAGGTATGAGAAATATATGAAATATAAACAAATGCTGTGTTGAGGTCTGGTCCCATCTTCAAAATATCTCATCATATACATGTATGCAAATGCAGGTATTCCAAAATAATAATTAAAAAATCCTGAAATTCAAAACACTTCTGGGCCCAAGCTTTTCAGATAAGAGATATTCAACCTGTGCTTTCTCAAAAAGGAGATGGCTTCTTCATCATCAAAGACAAGGTCATAAAATGGAAATAAATTTTGACTTACTTTGAAATTACAGATATAATATTGTTGGAATCAAGTCTCAAATAAATTGTTAGGGTTTCTCCTACCTGTTTTTTAACATTGCCATGATCAGACTGCAAGGTATGAACCACCCGTGTCAGCTCTTCAATCTCATACTGGTTGATCTTCAGGTCATTCAGGTATTTCCCTCTTTGCTCCTGAAGTTCTTGGAACTTATATGTGGAAATTATAGAGAGAGGGAGAGGGAGAGGGAGGGGAGGGAGAGGGAGGGGAGAGGGAATTGCTAACAATTAACAAATAAAGCTTTGGAATTCTTTTCAGAAACATCAGGAAAAATTCCGATAGACGGTAGAAAAGCCTGTATTCTAACTGGTGGTTTCATGTGCAACAAGGTTGATGTCATGTGCCTTCAAGTTCTCTCAGACCACTTTTGACCCTAATGGGAATTTCAGGATTATTTGTTCAGAGTTGGTTTGCCTTTGCTTTCTTCTAGACTGAGAGTGTATGATTTGTCCAAGGTTACCCAGTGGGTTTCCTTGGCGAAATGTGGATTTGAACCCTGATTTCCAAAACTCAAACCACTACACCACATTCAAACTGGAAACGAACAATATGGTTTTGCCTTGGGTAAAATGATTTTAGGAAAACCCGAGGATCACCCCCCCCCCTTTTAAAAACATGCTATTAAAGTGAATGAAGGTGTGGTTAAGGGTTCACACAGAGCGATGCATGGATTAATCACCATGTGCTCCTTCAGTTTTCAGAGATTCTCTTTGCTCTGCATTGCATATGACCTGAACTGCTGTTTAACAAAAATATATATAACATTAATTGCAGGACTGAGGTAATTTATTTCATTCATGCTTTAAGACAAGCAGACCTAATTTGAACTTGAAATAAACTGTGAATTGGCCCACACATATCCTTTCACTTCCATTTGTTGTTGTTGTTCATTCGTTCAGTCGTCTCCGACTCTTCGTGACCTCATGGACCAGTCCACACCAGAGCTCCCTGTCGGCCGTCACCACCCCCAGCTCCTTCAAGGTCAGTCCAGTCACTTCAAGGATGCCATCCATCCATCTTGCCCTTGGTCGGCCCCTCTTCCTTTTGCCTTCCATTTCCCCCAGCATAATTGTCTTCTCTAGGCTTTGCTGTCTCCTCATGATGTGGCCAAAGTACTTCACTTTGTCTCTAGTATCCTTCCCTCCAGTGAGCAGCCGGGCTTTATTTCCTGGAGGATGGACTGGTTGGATCTTCTCGCAGTCCAAGGCACTCTCAGAACTTTCCTCCAACACCACAGTTCAAAAGCATCGATCTTCCTTCGCTCAGCCTTCCCTAAGGTCCAGCTCTCACATCCGTAGGTTACTACAGGGAATACCATGGCTTTGACTAGGCAGATCTTTGTTGCCAGTCTGATGTCTCTACTCTTTACTATTTTATCGAGACTGGACATTGCTCTCCTCCCAAGAAGTAAGCGTCTTCTGATTTCCTGGCCACAGTCTGCATCTGCAGTAATCTTTGCGCCTAGAAATACAAAGTCTGTCACGGCCTCCACATTTTCTCCCTCTATTTTCCAGTTGTCAATCATTCTTGTTGCCATAATCGTGGTTTTTTTGATGTTTAGCTGCAACCCGGCTTTTGCGCTTTCTTCTTTCACCTTGATTAGAAGGCTCCTCAGCTCCTCCTCGCTTTCGGCCATCAGAGTGGTGTCATCTGCATATCTGAGGTTGTTAATGTTTCTTCCAGCAATTTTCACCCCAGCTTTGCATTCATCCAGCCCCACATCGCATGATGTGTTCTGCATACAAGTTAAAAAGGTTGGGTGAGAGTATGCAGCCTTGCCGTACGCCTTTCCCAATCTTGAACCAGTCTGTTGTTCCGTGGTCAGTTCTTACTGTTGCTACTTGGTCCTTGTACAGATTCCTCAGGAGAGAGACAAGGTGGCTTGGTATGCCCATCCCACCAAGAACTTGCCACAATTTATTATGATCCACACAGTCAAAGGCTTTAGAATAGTTTCACTTCCATACATTTCCAAATTTGGTGATGCAGTTGCCCAGTCAAAAAATGTACACCAAATGCAATTAAGGGAAATGAGAAATTGCTGGAAAAAAATCACACAGAACAGGTAGGAATGCATAATAATGTGTACTTATTTTTATGCATTCAAAAATGCTCATAAAATGCACATGAATTTTTTCTAAAAACCTATGTGTAAGGCTGAGTGAATGGATGGACTCACTCGGAAGAAGAACACCCAGTCTTAAAAATAAGTTCTATGCTGCCATTTCCACAAACTTACCCTGTCTGCGTACAAAGCATTTACTTCCTCTTTGCTTCTGTGGGCAATGCTCTGGTACCAAGCTTCAACATTTCTGATGATTGAATCCATGTCCAAGTCTCTGTTGTTATCCATTTGCACAAGAATGTTCATATCACTGATTTGGCTACTTAGTTGCATTAGTTCCTGCATGTCACAGGGAATATATATGTGAGTCAGAAATGAAAGATGATCAGATTTCCATTGTTAGTTTATAAAGTAGAAGGGGTCAATATATGCTTGATGCCAATGATGCCTTCTGAAATGTAAGATCTAATGAAGCAAACACAGCCTGTCTGTGCCTAACTATCTTCATGTAGGGGAAGATATTATGCATTGCCTCAGAAGTAAATAAAATAAAGAATACAGACAGTCCCCAAGTTACAAACATACAACTTACACTTCCTGGGGGTGAAACAACAGGAAGTGAGAGAAATATACCCCTCGAAGGGGAAATTCACTCCTGAAAGAGTTATCATGGGGAAAAGGTGTCTCCACTGAAGCTTTATCACTTTATCTACAACAAGACAAATTTTTCAAAATCCAATTATCACTGGGATAGAAAATGAGGTGAAATCTGAATAGGGGCATAACAAAACAAACACCACAGGGATGTTAACCCTTCCTTATGGTAACCAAAGTAAAAGAATATCTATATATTTGGCTGAAGTTACACTATTAAAATGTACCTGTTCCGACTTACACAAAAATTCAGTTTAAGAACCCACCGAACCTATCCTGTTCGTAACTTGGGGACTGCTTGTCACAGTATCTCATTCTCATACATAAGAACAAATAAAAACACCTGCTGTAATAAAAGGGGTGGTAATGATCAGCAGCAACATCCTGCTAACTTCTGGTTTCAAAAATATAATCTGAGATTTTGCCCCAGCATGCATAAAAGGGAATTCTTACATCAGTCACTCTTCCCCACAAAACTGCAAAGGCAGTGAAAAATTCACAACATACTCCTGTTTGCTGATTTCATGAAGCAGCTCTTTATCTTTTAATAAGCACTGTTCTCCGTTCTTATGAGGTGGTAATTACAGCAGATTTTATTTCCACAATAAATGATGGCTCTTTCGATACCTCCAGTCTTTTGAGAATGAGGACTTCCCATGCAATCGACAGCATGAGATGCCAGTTCTGTGGGTTTGAGCCACAGTTATGACTCACCACCCACAGGGCTACACTCCAGGGTCTTTGCTGTTGTTGTTATTTGCTGTCAATTCAGCTTTAATTTATGGGGACCTGAGGCACAGCTACACACAAATAGCCTCTTGAAATTCTCTACTGTATTTGACAACAGAGAAATGTGGAAGGAGAAGATTTTATGGTATTTCTTTAGGGGCAGGAGAGATTATCTCACTGTTCCTTGAGATTGCATCTTATTGTTATTTGTGGCTCCAGCATGAATCCTTTCTCTCACTGGCCCTTTGGGAACTTCTCCAAACTATGCTGGTAGACCAGCCATCATTTCATATTCTCAGCATTGCACTGGAATCATGCAATTCCTGGCAACATTCCATGTCCAAACAACACCCAAGAACATCTGGTCTTTAACATGGGGAAAACCTGAGTGAACCAGTTTTTAAGCTATACATTAAGCAAAGTTGGAAAATTATCCAGAGTTTCATCAAAACTCTGAAGCAGCCATACACTTCGGACAGAGTGTAGACAGCAGATTGGTTCCAATGCAAATTAATCTGCTGTCTACATGGGCTGACATCAAGTTCTCCTTTTCCCTGTGCATTTCTGCTCCAGATTGACCCTGGATATTTTTTTTTGTATGTGTAGATGAGCCCATATTTTCCAAGCTGTAAAGCAGTGGTTCTCAACCTGTGGGTCCCCAAATGTTTTGGCCCTCAACTCCCAGAAATCCTAACAGCTGGTAAACTGGCTGGGAATTCTGAGAGTTGTAGGCTAAAACACTTGGGGACCCACAGGTTGACAACCACTGAGGTAGAGAATCAACTCAGATACAAGTAGAAGAGACATCTACTTTGCTTCTTATTTGTCTTCACATAGTAGTCACCCTGTCTACTAAACTTGCCTTTTCTACAGTGAGCAGTGGTGAAACCTAAAAGAAATTACATTTGATACAAATCCTGCATCTGGCCTTTTCTATTCAAAAGCCTACTTAGATGATCACTTAAAAACTCATGCTTGCTTTAATGTGTCACTATTGGAAACCATTCCTAAAATGTCATAAAATATTTCCTTAGTGAAGAAGACAGAGTTGTCCTAGATTATAGCTATAGTGTTTTCCAGGCTGTGTTTTTAGCATTAAGAGTCCAGTTTGTTCTTACCTCCATATAGACACTTTTGCGAAATTCCAGTTCCCATCTCAACAAATTTACTTTTCCCTCAAGTTCTGTTTTGCTGAGAGAAATTGAGTCAACGTCCTGAAAGGGATTGATGACTTAGTTAAACAGGGACAATATTCCAGTTGCTCATGAAATAGGATCACAGCCAGGTGCAGCACAGAATTAAATTCTCAAACAAAAGGTGTCATGTTTTCACTTGAAAGACCATGAACAAAAGCAAAGGTAGGATTGTCAGGTTAATACCATCTATAGACCTTGAAAACACTTTCACCCCTAGAATAAAATCCAGTTCCAAGCTAGCTCATGGTTGATATAACATACACCTGCAATGCACACTGCATTATGCATCCAGTGTGAAACAGCATATTAAAAACCTCACCAGGAATTCCAGAATAAACAATCAAATCCACTGCAGCTAATCAATTTATACCCAATGTAGAGCAGGAACTGGGGACCAAAATAGGGTGCTTGTGAGGACAGGGCTAGCACTGAAGCACAGGAGGCATGGACGGGAACCAGCAAACCCAACTCCCAGGAATGTAAATGAACATATCAAAATGATCCACAATCAGCAGATTGTGGCCACTGTCCAGCCTTCAGCCAGTTCCTGGGTACCTGTGTAGCCGCTCTGTTTGAAACCAGGCCTCTTTAATCCCCACATCCTGACCTGGTTTAAATATATATGTGGGAGCAGCCTGAGACTGCAGACCAAAAGCTGAGACCTAGCAATGGCGTCCAGGAGATGTTGCAGAGAGCAATCTCAGGGGATTCCATTAAGCATGATAGATAAAGTAGCTCATTATATTGCATTCATTTAAAAGATATGTCTAACAAAGGAGACTACAAACTCATACCGTTCAAAGCAATTCTTTAACCCTGAGATTCCTCTCCTTCCCACTGAGGATGAGGGAAGAAAGTAGCAATATGAGAACCAAGGCCAGATCTAGGAACCTTAAAATATTCTTTATTTTATTGTATGCCTGTAATTTATTGTATTATGAACAGACTCTAGAAATACAAGCTGAATCCATCTCCAAGTTACCAAATTTCTGTCCAGTTTGAATGAAGAATATTCTCAAGCTGCATGAATATTTAGCAAATAGGTAGTGCCTGGCAATCAATAATTGATGTTAAGTGCTAAAAAGTCAAACTATCTAATAGTATCTGATAGCATCTGTTAGTATACGCTCCTATTTGATAGTAAACATTACTAACATTTGATCAAGTAAACATTTGGCAGGGTGTGACTGCTGTTGACTTGGTATTGCAAAAAATAATTTTTCCAAGCTATATTGGATTAGCCAACTAAGCAATGATTTTGTAGAATTTATGTTGACATGAACCAATATTTTAATATAGATAAAAGGAGGCAAGATGAAACCATCTCCAAAAATATGACCTCAAATGAAATTTCATATAAAGCTCAGGGGCAACTTACCAACACTGACAATCAGAAATAATTTAAGMCTGTGACACCCCCCCCCCCCCGAACCCAGCTCAGTTTCCTGACTAGATGGAAAACCTTTCTGCTTGTTTTCAATTTGGTTTAATAAGCAGTGTCATTTCCCAAGCAAGACTGTGTACAATATACCCCCAGGCAGGCAGGCAGGCAGGGGGAAAGAGGTGCACAAAGGTATAGCTGCTGCTCACCTGCCACAGGCCATAATGAGCACACAGTGAAAAATGGAAGCTTGGAAGTCAAAGGTGAGATGGAAAAGGGATAGGAGAGCCTATCACTGGCCTCCCCTAGTTTGGATTCAATTGGCCACAGATGGAAGTAAACAAACCAATTGTATAGACATCTTTCAGCAAATAGAACACCTTACCTTCTTGAGCAGAACAAATTCATTTTCAGCTGTCGTCCGTCTTTTGAATTCCTCTTCATATCTGTTGGTAGAAACATGGAAGAAGTGCTCTGTGCAACAAGAACTTGCTTTGCCCACTCACCAGAGGGAGTCACCCAATCCCTTATAGCTGCTAACTGGGGTAAGTTGAGAACTTTAGGGACTTCCTGAGTGTCATTTAAGAAAAGGAAAAGGGAAGAAGAGGAAAAGGGAGAAAAGAAGGAGGAAGATATATTACTTGCTCTTGAAGTCCTCCACCAGGTGCTGAATGGCATCTTTATCATTGGTCAGGTGTTCTCTAGTATGCAATAAACAGTCTATCTGATACTTCATGTTTGAGATGAAATTCTCATAGTATGGTTCAAGATTTCTCCTTGGCACCATGGCATATTGTTGCAAGAGGTTCCATTTTGTTTCAAGGGCCTTGTTTTCCTGTTCCAAGATTCGAACCTGTTGACCAAAGAAGAATGCAATAATTTTTTTCCTGAGAACACAGACTGAAATTCAAACCTGCTTTCCAGAGCAAACCTGCAAACATTTACATTTGTTTCATCAATACAGTTCATTTCCCTTTGAAATTAACTTTATGGTTCCTCTTTGTTAGGACTTTAATAGAAATTAGGTTGGATCACAAATCAGACACACATAAGACACAGTTAAGAGTTATTTGTTTCATGCTGCCCAATGGTGTTTAGCACAACAAAATAATAGACCCCAGTTCTTAAAACTGGTGTCTTATTTAACTATCAGAAAACATCAGAAAAGTCCTCCTTGATGAAATTTAAAGGCTAGTATAACATCTTATTTTTCATAAAGGCCACTCTGCATAATTATAGTAGTTTGGAAACTATCATGGTTCAATGCTATGGAATTCTGGGATTTGCAGCTTTGTGAGACATTTACTCTTCTCTGACAGAGAATCCTGGTATCACAACAAACGACAAATCTCGGTAATAATAGAATCAAAGAATCATTGAGTTGGAAGAGACCTCGTGGGCCATCCAGTCCAACCCCTTGCCAAGAAGCAGGAAAATAACATTCAAAGCACCCCCAACAGATGGCTATTCAGCCTCTGCTTAAAAGCTTCCAAAGATCGCGCCTCCACCACACTTCAGGGCAGAGAGTTCCACTGCTGAAGAGCTCTCATAGTTAGAAAAGCAAATAGAATGAAAGGCCTCCTTACCGAGACACAAGACTTGTATAGGTCCATGGTGCTGGGAAATGATACAATGGAGTTGGACAGAGGAGGGGGGAATTTTCTCTCCATAGCTCAATCATATCAGTACTGTGGAGCTAAACAAGTTTTGTGCCTCACTAAGGAGGCCTCTCTTTCTATTTTGGGGAGGGGCAAAATGGAGGGCACTTTCCACCCATGCCAATGGTGCAACATCGCAGATGAGTATATCGCCACCCCCCAGGCAAAAAGGCAGGATTTCCCCCAAACATCTGGCCACAAAATGTGACAAGAACTGGCTTTTAAAATGCTGCATTCTGTAGCATTTGGGGCTGTGTAGAAGGGCTCTCAGATGTCTTTGAGGGTTCTTCCTCACCATACCTATAATTTGGGAGACAATGGGTTAAAAGGGTGGCAGACAGATGATATGTGTGCTAAATGTCTGCTCAATCACAACAAAGGGAGGGAAACCCCCATTCAAAAAGGTCCTCCTTTATCCTGATTCCTGGCAAAAAAGTGGATTTTCCCATAATTCTGTGGCCCTGCAGTTATGTAAAGTTTGGGATTTCCCTCTTTACCTGCCTGTTCAGGCTCTCACAGAGACACAGCTGGTTTCCAGCTGGTTTCAAAGGAGGAGAAGTGGAGAGCCCTTAGAGGTCTCTGAAAGTGTTTATTTTAAACTTTATAATATTAAATAGATTGTGAACAAGCAACTGGGGAAAAGGGAAAATCTGGCAGCATTTTTAAAAAATCCCACTGTTATACGCTGATGTTTATATGCACACATAGGAATCTTTCCATATTTGTATTAGGATGTTCGCATGTGCACATATAAGCATCAGCACATAATTGAGTGATTTAAAATAAAAACTTCTCCCAGATGTCCTTCATCCGCCCTCCATTTTATCTTGAGACATAGAAGGGAGGTGAGCACGGCAGGGGAAGAAAGCTTGGTCTGTGTATGGATCTGCTCTGAGGTTCCAGGTGTGGGAATCTGCCCTAAGGTCTCACATATTAATCCCACATTTGGTGCTGTCTGGAAGTACCCTGAGAAGCCCGATGACAGTAACACTCCCCTACCTTCCCATCAGCTAGTTGTTCAAAGGCTATATGCTTCTGAATATTTTGTCATATTGTTACATTAGTAGATTTTTCCAATAGTACTTTAAAGGTAGCTTTGTTCAGTGGCCATCATTGCATCTTCTTGTAAAAAATGCTACTGCTTTATGCTTGCTTCCCTCTTCAGTGACACTATTAGAAGTAGGTGAGGGAAATATTTGCCCCTGCTTGTACCATCACTTCATTTATATAAATAAATCAAGACTGCAGCCTTTTCAAGGATATACACTAATTAAGTGGAATGGGTGGTGTGCAGGCAAATCTGAATGGTACTTTTGTTTTTCAGTGTGTATGTGTTTCAGATTGCTTGTAGACTTATGACAATTCCATGAATGTCATATGGTATTCTTAGGTAGGAATACCCAGATGTAGTTTTGCTTGTTCCTTCCCCTGAGATATTTCCTACAGCACCTAGTAATCATTGCTAGTCTCCCATCTAAGTATTAAGTAGGAGTGTATTATTAAAGGCTGGGACATACTGCTAAGGGCCAAAGTGAATGTGATCCCAGTATGCATACTTTCTGATAGACAAGAAATCATATCAATTTTGAACAATGGGAATATTCTTAAAGAACCACTATCTCCCCATATGAACCAACTCAGACCTTAAGATCATCTGGTGGGTGCGGGGAGGAGGGCTTCGTATGATCCCACCACCCTCACAAGCACGGCTGGTGGGGACAAGAGAAAGGGCCTTCTCGGTGGTGGCACTCTGGCTTTGGAATGCTCTCCCTAAGAAAATCAGACAAGCACCCTCTCTAGCTAACTTTAGGAAAGAACTAAAAACCTGGATGTGAAAGATGACTTTCGAAAATGGTTGACTATTTCATGATGATGGTGGTCTTTTATCCTTGTTAATACCTATTAGTTTAAACTGGTTTTGCCATTTTAACTTATGCATTTATGTAATCCCAGTACAATTTCAATTTATGTATTTTATTATTGTGATATCATTTTTTAAAAACTTCTGTTTATGATTATTGGTTATATATTATGTCTTGTCTTTTTGGTTTTTGCTTATATACAGGGTACAGCAGCATAACTTCCTTTTTTAAAATGCGCACCATTCAGTCGATTGAAGACGTAGCGGAGCGCTAGTGGTCTCATTCGAGAGGCAGGAGTATAAAGTTTTGTCCTGACACAGTTTAGTCGCCATCATGCGTTGGAACAGTGAGGAGCGTGCTTTTGCTGCTGAAGCCTACTTTTCAAGTGGATTTGGAGTGGCCGGCCCGCTCTCCAGATATGGCCCCTTGTGATTTTTTAATGGGGTTTTTTGAAATCCCGTGTTTATGTGAACCATCCAAGGACCCTACAAGATTTGAAGATCAACATCCAGGAAGAAATTGCCAACATAACGCTTGCTATGCTGGCAAGAATCATGACAAAATGCCAGAAATCAGTTCACTCTGTGTATGGAGAATGGAGAATTGGGGACTTCACCTACATAATTTGATCTTCAAAACTACGTAAAACAAAACTTTAGGTATGCGCCTACATTATTAAAAAAATTCTGATTCATACAATGGGTTTTATTAAGTTTTGAAAAACGGAAGTTATGCTGTTGCACCCTGTATGTATTGTGTTTTGATTCTGTTGTGATCCGCCCTGAGTCCGTGTGGAGAAGGGGCAGGATATAAATAAAGTTGATTATGATTATTACTGTCTCAATTTTCTTTCATTTCCTGGAATCTCTCCTGCTTGGTCTTCCCATCATTCTTTCCTACCATAATGTGATTCCTGGAAGGGAGACTACATAAAAATTCATTTCAGTATGCGTGTTTCCTAATCTATGGCATTTTCAATGCATTTTCATTAAAGTACACGTATTGAAGTGGTTTCCCCACTAGCTCACATGTGTCAAATGCAAGGCCCACAGCCCAAATGTGGCCTGCCGTGTTATTTTTATGTGGCCCTCGAGGCTTTCAATACCAGGACAATATAGTTACCTTTATACAGTCTTACAATTACAAATGGTCCTTTGAAGGCAATGGCTGATGAACCACTGTTGTGGCCATCAATAAAAACGAGAATGACATACCTGCACAAACTGAAAGGTAATTTTTCCCCAAAAAAATGAGTTTTGAATTTTGCATGTACCTTACATATCCATGTATAAGTCACCCTCATATATAAGTTGAGGGAGGGTTCTATGGAAAGTGAAAACAACCACTGCTGCCCTGGTGTGTGGAGGCCACCAAACAAGGCCTCTCCCTGCAACACAGTAGCATTGCTTGCGGCAAAAATGAAAGTGAGGAAAATTCTAAAATGGAGAAAGGGGCGGCAACTAAGTCTTCTATGTGTCTTAGCTATATTGTAACCCATCTCAATCCATGAGGAGAGACAGGTAAAATATTTTTGTTTGTATTATTTTGCTCTCACAAAATTATGTCACAGCAAACGAGATATATATTTATTTACTTTACTTTATTTATATACCACTTTTCTCAGTCCTCAGGCTACTCAAAGTGGTGAGATATATGCTGGATATCGTATCACAAAATCACAAGTCGAACACTTTCCTAGTGTCTAGAACTGTGTGAGAATTCTAAAAGAGTCTCATAAAATACAGAAATTTCTTAGGAGGCTGTATTTCATATATAAGCAATATAGGCAGTCCCATGCCTGAATCCCTGTTCAGAAGATTTCACCACATTTTTTGTCCTATAGCCAGCATTCCCTGTTGTCATTCAAAATCATAACATTTCCAGGTTCTGGTTTCAGATAGCTGAATAATTCTAGAATCTGAACAAAACAGTTTTTAAATGTTGATACTAAAATCAACTTTAAGGACCTTTAAAAAAGTCATACTTTGCCAATAAAAATCTATGCCAAAATATTCACTACCAACTTTTCAAAGAGTCTATATAGATGTAAGGACAACCTTGAATCTTAAATCTAAAACCATCCCAGGGGGCATATAACACTGTAAACTTACCATTCTGAAGCTAATGATGGAGGTCCACCTGGAAAGAACTTCAAGGGCAGTGATAGGATTTGCACTAACATAACTGTCCAATTATATTATGAGCACATTCTAAGAGTGGCCAGGCATTTGTTGGTTTTGTGATCTCTCTTTCCTCCAGGAGACCACCAAAAAAACTGAAAATTACACTAGCCTGAGAACTACCACAATAAACCTCTTCCCATTGTGTGCGATTTGGAGAGGAGGATTGTTTCCATCACGCAATAATTATTTGAAGCCCAGGAGGTATTAAGAAATGGTAGACCTTTTCCATTGCACATTGGGATTGCTCTGCCTCTTCCCAATGAAATTAATAGAATAAACTGAAAGTATCTATTGATTTCATTGGGGTTTAAGTACAAGCCCAGTTGTTAGGATTAGGTCTAACATCACATTTTGAAAATCCTAAAATTTAATATTATACAATAACTCAGAGTGCAATAAAAATCTGTATTAGGAACATTTAAATAATAATAAATAACTTTCAATCCAACTTCTACTGTAAAACAAAAGTGAACTTGAACAGAGTGTTTAAAATATTTCCCTTTTCAATTTTTTTCAACTTAATATTCATTTCAACATCATTTGCGAAATAACTATGTGATGCTACTATGATGATGCAGAGACATTCGTAAAGCAATTCACTCTAAAAGCATTTGAACTAAGCCATGTGCATGGACTATCTTTTTTTTGTTTTGTTCCCAAAAGAGTGTATGTTTTCTCACCTTTTCAATGAAGCTAGCAAACTGGTTGTTGAGGTTCTTCATCTCTTCCCTCTCATGATTTCGTGCGTCATGTTCCTGGGGATCTGCTCCCACATGTAATGGCTGAAGGAGCTTCTCATTGACTCTGACTTCATGGAGGTTATCACCCCTGGAGTTCGAATATCCCCCAAATGATCCATAACTTCCCATGGCGTCATATGTTCTAGGGCCATAGAAAGCCATACCACCAAAGCCCAAGCTACCACAACCCCCATGACCATAGTTGTAGGCACCATAGCACCCAGCACCGTAGCCTCCGTATCCACCACAGGAAATTCTTCTGCTTGCACCCACGTTAGCAAGACTTTGGCTAGTGAAGCCAGGGACCCCATATCCATTTCTAACTGGATAGCGAACAGATGCAGCATAGGTTCTGTGCCCACCTAGTCCATATGCAGACCTAGAGCTGAATCCCCTTTCCCTCATAAGGTTCCTTGCAGCAGACATCTGTAGAGCCATCATGAAGGGTTGGGATAGATTGGTTCCAAGGAAGCAGGTGCAAGCGGAAAGTAGCAGTGAGAGCAGCCCTCTAGCACAGGACCGCAACACAAACTCTTATATACAATTGAGGAGTTGGCCGGGATTGGTCTAATGTTTTAATTTGGGAGCTTTCACCTGTTTGGCTTGCCTCAGGCCCAGGAATGTTTTTAATTGTACAAAACACCATAGCAAACACAAACTGAAGGAATAAGAATACTTTTAAAGAAATTGCTTTGTTTGCAAGCTTTGGTTGACATATACTATGCTTGGAAATTGGGTTTTTTGCTTGGTTTAATTATTATTTAGATAGTTGTAGAAGGGAAGTTTCCTCTTTCATTGAACAAAGATAATAAGATGAGGGTAGTTGGCTTCTGCAAACCAAGGCAGACATTTTCAGTGCCTACTTTTCAGCATTTATTTTCCTCTCACCCCAATATGGAACTTAACATTTGCTGCTGTTTTGCCATCCATATTCTGAAGGGGATGGGACTATTTGGGCCATTCCTAAGGTTTTGGGGGCTGGCCTGACTATTAAGCAAATTACAGCAACCATAAATGAAAGACAATAGAAGAAGTGATGCTATTTTTTCCTCTCCTATTCCTCCCGTTCTGGGGCATCTGGTTCATTATATCTATATTTCTCATAATTCCATGTTTTCTCAGCCTGTCCCATTTTCATGTTGGGAGTTAAGGCTTTCTTGCTGCTGCTGTTACTGTTATTTATTATTTATTATTTGCTTTATTTCTATACCGCATTTTTCAGCCTAATTAGGCAACTCAATGCGGTTTACACAATACAGATTATCACAACAATATCCTAAGCGATTAAAACACATCATATACAGCAGACAAAATCAACAATCATTATCATATCATAACGCCTCAATAACAAATCAGAATCCGTTCTCATAATCCTTGTACCATTTCCTATGTTCAATTTTACCGTCTTCCTGTGTTCAGTTGCACTGCTTAGCCAAATGCTTGTTCGTAGAGCCAGGTCTTAACCTTCCTCCGGAACGCCAGCAACGAAGGGGCCTGTCTGATGTCTACAGGTAAGGCATTCCATAGCTGAGGGGCCACCACCGAGAAGGCCCTGTCCCTCGTCCCCGCCAACCGTACCTGTGACGCAGGCGGGACCGAGAGCAGGGCCTCCCCGGACAATCTTAATGTCCTGTTGTTGTTGTCATTCAGATATTGGTGCATTTGTGTGTGTATGTAGTGCAGTTGTCTAAGCCAGTTTCTACTTTCCTTCAAAAATATGCCTTTAAACAGATAAGAGTGTAGCATTTTTGACTTCCCGGTATCTTCCATGAGATTCTTTCCTTTTCCTTTTCCTATTCCTTCATTTTTCTTTTTTGTCTTGTTCTCCTGCTCTTTGTATTTTCTGACTTTTCCTTTTAAAATAATTATTTTCATGTTCTTTTCTTTTATTAGATATGTTGTTACTTGTTTCCAGTCTGTGTCTGCCTTTGGTGTGCCCTCTTTATGGATAGTAAAAATGTCAGTTTATCCATATTTCTTATGTCTAGAATTTTTGTTAGCCACTCCGTTTCTTCTGGGGATCTTCTTTTTTCCAATGTTTTGCGTATATTATCCTGGCTGCCGTTGTTAGTAGGAATAGTAATGTATCTTTATTTTTGTCTATTTTTAAGTATTATGTATTCCAAGTAGGAAGATTTCTGGTTTTTTAGGTATATCTATTTCCAGCATTTTTACACTCCCCCCTCCCCCCCCACACACACACACACACTCCATAACTACTTTATTCTAGTCTATTTTCTCTTTTTTCCTTTCTCTCTTTAATCTTAATCATTTTAACTATACTCTTTCATTAGCTATCTAAAGCTACTGATTCTCTCATATACTTCCCCTATGTCTAATTTCCCCCTTTTAACTGCATTACTAAAGAAAAATGTATTATATATTTTAATACTAATAAAGATTATTTTTAAAAAATGTGCCTTTAAAATTGTTGATTTTCTGTGCATTGCTTCTACGACTTACATTTCAAGTTTCAGATTTCCAACAACGTCCCATCTCCATCTCTATCTCTGTCTCTATTGCTTTCTCCATCTCCCTCTCTCCCTCTTTTCTGTCCCTATTGCTATCTCTGTCTGTGCTATCACTACGTCTGTATTTCTATTACTATTCCTATCTCTATCACCTCAACCTCTATCTATCTCCATCTCTTACTCTCTATTTCTATGGTCTCCATTGCCATCTCATTATCTTTATATTTATATCCCCATCTTATATTATGGGTTTCAGGGTAGCATAAAACAAAAGCAATGCAACTAAAGAAAAAAATGAAGAAGGAATAAACACCATCTCAGGAAATACAAAATTGATATTCACAGGCAGAAGTATGAACTAAAGGAATTACTTTTCCATCTTACCCCTCAGCAACCATTCCTGTCTCTCTTTTAGAAGACAGAACTATGTATGCCATCCAACCTGTTCTAGGCCTCATTTTGCCCCAAGTGCAATGAAAGATGTCATCCCATCAGCTGGGCCAAAGCAGCAAAACATCTTGTACTAACTATTTTTCTTAAACAGATGCATGCATAAGATACCAGTAGTTTATTTGACTCTCGTTCACAATAATAAATATTGTTGTGATGCAAAAGCATTGACCTTTATACAGACAAAGAAGAAGTTTGGTGAGACAAAATGGTCATAGAAAAGTGCTTCAGAATAGCATATTCTGCTCTTCGTGAAAATATTGTTTTGTGTTCCTAGACATTCAGATCTGACCTATTCTGTTCTATGGCTTAGTTATTACAAAAATTGGATTTTTTAAAAAGAAAACAACAACAACAACAGTCTACTATGAGTTGTTGTAGGTTTTTTCGGGCTATATGGCCATGTTCTAGAGACATTTTCTCCTGACGTTTCACCTGCATCTATGGCAAACATCCTCAGAGGTTGTGAGGTCTCACAACCTCTGAGGATGCCTGCCATAGATAAAGGTGAAACACCAGGAGAGAATGCTTCTAGAACATGGCCATACAGCCCAAAAAACTTACGACAACCCAGGGCTTCTGGCAGTGAAAGCCTTCAACAATTCATTAAACATGATATGATTTTATATGCAATTGAGCCTAGGTACCTGTAGATACAATGTACCCAAAGCTAAAAAAAAACCTTCAATATAAGCATATCTAAGTTAACAAAGCCTCTGTCAAAGAAGCTTCTTCTTAAAAAGTGTCTTTATGGCTCCCAAGCTCCTTTTTTTCTCCTTGCCCTCTCTACTGCTAGATCTTCTTTTAACCACAATGGAACTGGAAATATGACAAATGGGGGCTGAAGAAACAAAAAAAAAAGAACAGCATTTTAAAAAGTCAAATAAACTACTGGTATCTAATGCAGTAAAGCTTCAACTGGGAAATAATGGGTTTTTTCTGTAGTTGAGCCTATTGTAGTCATCTGTTTCTGTCTAAAAAAGAAAAAGTGAGTAGTAGCTGATTCCAGAATCCCTTGCTGAGTATGCATGAATAGGAATAGTTAAGCCTGAGGAGTAGATAAGCATGCCTTACCAGATAACCTCAACATAATTAAAATTCATACAGAGAGAGACAAACACACACACAAGTTTTAAAAAGACTGTGCTGAAACACATTGAACTGTTTTCTTTAGAAAATCAATCTCTTTTCTTTCCGAATCATTCTATGTCTCTAGTTCCAAAGTTACTGTTGAAGAAGGCATGCCCAAGAACACACCTACTTAACATACTTGTAAAATATTGCACAAAAATAAATCTATAGGAATCCTTTTGCATTTTTCTCCCCGATATAAACATGTACATTGGCATCAAGGAGAGGAAAGGGGGAAGTAGCAGAAAGAATGAAAAAAAAAGGAGAGTATCATGAACCCAATTCTGAAATCATTTCCGAGATTATACCTAAACTTAATATGCGAGGAGTCAAATGCTGGAAGTAAACAGATGTAATCTGTTTTTAATAAGTATTTCCTTCCTACATTTGTGAGACTACACAAGGAATTTTTTCCCATGAATGAAATTCACATCAAAAGTTTAGCTTTGATTTGCAGTCACAGCAAACCCTGTGATGACAAGTAAGTCTTCAGGGACTTGAGGAAAGGAGGAATGGAAAGACAAGCTTCACCTTGAAGGCATGAATGCAGTATACTATTATGGGTGTGCTCTTGGAATTAAGCTAAAGATAGGAGATGGCGAAAAACATATGCAACTTTCCCTTTTGATGTTGAGCTATCATGATATCATCTAGAAGAAGGACACATAGGACCTTTAGGGACCCATTTTGACAGGGCTTCCAGCTGGAGCTATTGCATATTTATATTTCTCTTTCTTTCTCTTTGTTTTTCTCTTTCTCTCTCCTTCCCCCTTCTTCTCTCTAGGTTTTGTATATGAATCTGTGTGTGTGTCATTTTCTCCATCCCAAAGAGGCAGAGCTTAAGGACTGAACTACCAGCTAGCATTTTGCCCTAATAATATTTAATGAAAGAAATAGTAATATTGATCAATATGGTTTTGGGATCAAGTTCATGAACTGAACAGAACCCAGATGTTAATACAAGGGTCCTCGAACTTTTTAAACAGATGGCCAGGTCACAGTCCCTCAAACTGTTGGAGGGCCAGATTATATTTTGGAAAAAAAATTGATGAATTCCTATGCACACTGTACATTTGTAGTGCAAAAAAACACTTCAACACAATACAATAATTAAAAAATAATTAAAATGAACAATTTTAACAAATTTTAACAAACCATTTTAACAAATATAGTATTTCAATGGGAAGTGTGGGTCTGCTTTTGGCTGATGAGATCATATTGTTGTTGTTATTGTTATTGTTGTTGTTGTTGTTGTGTGTTTTCAAGTCATTACAGACTTAGGTTGACCCTGAGTGAGGGCTAGGTAAATGACTTTGGAGGGCCGTATTCGACCCCTGGGCCTTAGTTTGAGGATCCCTGTGTTTATACATGGAAAGCTTGGCATTCGCTGGGGTTTGGTTCCAAGAGTTCCCACAATGCCAAAATCCATGGATGCTCAAGGTTTGCTTTTGAAATATTT